TTTATAAGTTTTGAAGGCAGACTTCTCTCTAGCTAGAAAGTTCTAGATAGCATATTCTTCAAGCATAAGGGGTTTTTCATCTGTGCTAAAAATCTGTTGTTGAGTGTCATCTTAGTTAGCTCTTCTGAAAGCGCCAGTCACCTTAGCTAAATCTTCTGGATAACTCACTGCAGCTTCTACATCAGCTCTGGCTGCATTTGTACTTTTATAATATAGAAATAGCTTCTTTCCTTAAATCTCATGAATCAACCCTCTGCTAGGCTTCAGACTTTTCTTCTGCAGCTTCATTACTTCCCTCAGCCTTCATAGAACTGAAGAGAGTTACAGCCTTTCTCTAGATTAGGCTTTGTTTAAGGGAATATGTGATCTTCTTTCTAGACCACTAACTGACTCAGTATCAGCAATAGGGTGTTTGTTTCCTTACCATTTATTCACTGGAATGGCATGCTTCCTTAATAACTTTTCCTTTATAGTCAACTTGACTTACTGATGCAAGAGACCTAGCTTTTGCCTATCTAGATTTCAGATACACTTTTGATTTTAAAGTGAAAAATGTGCAAGTCTTTTACTTGAACACTTAGAGGCCATTGTAGGGTTATTAACTGGCATAATATCAATATTGTTGTACCTAAGGGAATAGGGTCACCTAAGGAAAGGGAGAGAAATGGGGAAATGTCCAGGAAAACACACACACACACACACACACACACACACACACACATACACACACATAAACAACTTGTTAAGCTGCCATCAAACATGAATGCAGTTTGTGGCCCCCCAAAACAATTACAGGTGTAACATCCAAGGTTGCTGACCACAGATCACCATAGCAAATATAATAATGAAATAATCTGAGATATTGCAAGAATTACCAAAATGGACGGAAACATGAAATGAGCATTGTTGGAAAAATGTCACCATAGACTCATTCAATGCAAGGTGGCCATAAAACTTCAATTTGTAAAAAAATCTCAATATATCTGTGAAATGCAATAAAGTGAGGCATGATAAAATGAGGTATAAGCCAGGTATGGTGGTGCACCCCTGCAATCCCAACAACTCAG